ATTTTAGCTTAGAAAATCAGTCAATAAGTCAGTCAATTAACAAGTCAATTAGTTAAATACTAAATATTATTAACTCAAAAATAAACTCTTTTGGTAATAATATTCTTTTAAAAATAACACATTTAGAATATTTAAATATTTTTTTTATTATTTTATTATTTAAGTTTTAAAGTATTTATTTTAGTTTGTTATAACCTTTCACATATTTGTGATGTTATGTTTATAATCTCTTACATGTTTGTAATGTTATGTTGATGACCTCTTACATGTTTATAATATTATATTTATAGTTTGATCTCATACATATTGTGATATCATATTGTTGAAATGATTTAATAAACTGAATTTATAATATTTTACTTGTCTATAAATTATCATTATAATTATTATATTAAATACACATTAATTTATAAGAAGATTTCTTAAGTCACTTTTTAGCTGACTAGTAATTTAATAAATACATGTTATCATCTTTAGCTATTTATCTTATCTTTTTCATTTGACTTGAAACACATATTGAGCATGTAAAAAGATATAATATATTTGAAATCCAAGTAAAATAGTAATAATACAGTCAAACCCTTCTATAGTCATCAATCTTAGGAAAGCAAAATTTGGTGACTATAGAGAGGATGTGACTATAGAAAAATTTTTTTATTATATTTATATATAAATGGAAAAGCAAAATAGGGTGACTATAGAGAGGTGTGACTATAAATAAGTGTAACTATAGAGAGATTTGACTGTATAATTTCTTTTGATTTATAATCTTTTGTCACTACTATAAAATTATATTTTTTATAATATTTATAATTAATCTCTCATTTACATTAGCAAAATCAATAATATATAATTGAATTAATAAAAAAATTATATTTAACTTATTTATAAACTAACTTTTAAAAAATATAATTATTTCTAAATTTATTTTAGCTAATCAACAAAATAAATATATATTACCTATCTTTAAATACTCATATTTTTTCTTCTACTTAAAGTCATATTTCATAAATTCTCTTATTTGATATAATAATATATGTTCTTTATGCATTCTTCTTATAACAAGATTTAAAATTATATAAATAAAAAAATATACAAAAAATTATTAAATAATAAATATATAATAATAATTTAAAAAATTTTTTATTTTAATATTGTAATTTTATTTATTATTACTTAATTTTTTTTAAAAAATAATATAAAAATAAAAGAAAAAATAATTTATGTAAAATTTTTTATAAAATTAAATATTATATAAAATTTTTTATAAAATTTTAATTATCTTAAAAATATATAATATAAAAACTTGAATTTAAATTTATATTTAATTTTATTAATAAATATTTTTTATTTTAATATTAAAATAAAAATTATAAGTTATATATATTTTAATATATATTTTTTAGATTTTATTTAATAAACTTGTTTTAATTGCAAAAATATTTTTAATTAAAATATAAAATTAATTATAAAAATTTTATAATAACTTTGCAATTAGTATAACTTTATTAGAAAATTAAAAAATTCAGAAAAATATATATTAAAATATATATAAATTATAATTTTTATTTTAATATTAAAATAAAAAATATTTAATAATAAAATTAAAAATATTTATATAAAATAATATTTTAATTTTTACTATATCTATAAATAAAATATAAATAAAGTAATTAAATTAATATTTTTTATAATATAAATTTAAAAAAGTTAAAAATTTTAAAATAAATCATATAATTAAAAAACTTTTACTATTTATTTATATATTATTAAAAAAACAAGTTTCAGCTACAAATATAAATAAAAAAGATTTTAAATTTTTAATTAATTTTATTATTTATTTATATAAATAAAGAATAAAAGTTTTTTATTATATGATTTACTTCAAAATTTTTATATTTTAAATTTATATTATAAAAAAATTATTATTTTGTTTATATTTAATTTATATTAAAATATTATTATTTCTTAAATTATTCATTAAGCAATTTTATTTATTAAAATTATTTTAGCTTAATTTTTGTATATTTTTTCTAATTTTTATAAGCTTAACTTCTAAATTAAAATATATTATATTTTTAATTATATAATCTAAAATTTGTAATTTTTATTTATAAATTGCTCAAAATATTTATTTATTTTGTAATCAATTCTGTTAAGATTTAAGATAATAATAAAAATTTATAAAATTATTTATTTTTAGTTTATACAATAACAATCAGAAATAATATAACAATATCAAAATTTATTAATTAAATATAATAAAATACAAATTTTTATATAAAAGTTTTTAATTTTACAATAAATATTTTTTATTTTTATATTAAAATAAAGATAATATTATATATTTTAATAGATTTAATCTAATAAAGTTATTCTAATTGCATATAAAATTAATTATTTTAAATATTTTAATTATAAAAAATATTTAACTTTATATATAATTAGAATAGCTTTATCAAATTAAATCTGAAAAAATATATATTAAAATATGAAATATTATCTTTATTTTAATATAAAAATAAAAAAATATTTATTAATAAAATTAAGAACTTTTATATAAAAAGAAAAATTTGTATTTAATTAATAAATTTTGATATTATTGCATTATTTTTGATTGTAGATAATTCTATTTTTTATATTAAAAGATAAAATTAATTATATAAAGTATTAAAAATTTTTTTAAATATTTTAATTTTTGATAAATTAATTTGTCTGTTAAATCTCATAATTTTAAAATAATAATAATTTATAAAACATTAAAAATCTTAAATTTGTTAAAAATACAAACTTTTTAAAATTGTTTAAAAAATAAAAATTAATAAAAAATAACTTATTAAATATTTTATTTTATTTTTTTACTTGGTATTTATCTTTATTTTTATTTTTTTTAGTTTTTCATTTTCACTTTCAATTATATATAACAAAACTTGTATAAAAATAGCTTTAAATTGTATTGAGCTTATAAAAATATTTTTATTGGAATTATTAAATAAATATTTTTTATTTACTAGTTATTTGATATTTTGTTATATTGATATTTCTCTTATAAAAAGAACAAAGTGAGAGAATTTTTGTTATTTTGTTATTACTAATTATATTTTGATAGCTCTATAAAACCTTTGGAACATTATTTCTCTTTATTTATTATACCATCCCTTTTCCTTTTAACTTTACTCTTCATATCTCTCACATATTTTTATCTTCTTTTTGAACTATAACAATTTCAGTAAAATTGATATAGGACTTAGATATTTCTCTTTTACTACTATTTTGCTCTTTTGTTTAATCTCCTCTCCCAACTCTTGTTCACGTTTGTAAGCTAATTTCCCAACTTGTAACAATATTCTAAAAAAATTACCTTAATTATAAAAAGAAATAATTATCCCTGGGTTTCTTAACTTTTATTTATTAACATTCCTATAATTGTAATATTTTTAAGGATCAGTAGTTAAACTTTTTATTAATCTGGACGACGATTATATTCGTTAAGAATCTACGTGTGTTCTTTTAGTATTCTGAAAATATTGCGAATATTGCCATCTTTTGCATAATCTGTTACAATCGTGTAGCTGGGTTTTTAGTCATTCTATAATAATTGAAATGAATATATATACTAAAATTCGCGCGTTCTTTGACAATCGAAACATCCAGAGCAGCACATTTTTTTGACAAATGAGTATTGTAATCGGAACACTCATAACAGTAATTACATGTACATGTTTGACAACGAGTGTGTTAGGTCTTTGTTTATAGAATTTCTATTTACGTACGTATGTGTGTAAGTGTTAACGTTACGCACCTTGATGTACATTACAGTCAGCCAGGTTTTTTTAAGAAGCACATGTGTAACTAACGTTAATAGCGATTTTCTAAATACGGATCTCTTGGTTGAGACACTTACGGAAAATTTTTCAGACATTACCCCTGACCGATAACAATACACGTACGTAATTAAAAATGCACAATAAACCTTTTGATTCTTTCCATCTGCTAATTGGTTGGGCTACATTCATGCAACAACAACTTGTACAGTTTTTTACAGTATATAAAGTTGTCTCGCCATAAGCAACTATCATTTTTCTTTTGGTTCTTTAAATTTGTATTATAAACAAAAAACAATAATGCGCATAAAAATCCAATCAAATTCACAAATGGATTCGAATTTTTATATAAAAGTTGGTTTATTCGTTACTTTCATGACAATTTTACAAGTAATCATTTTCTACGAATTCCAATCTTTTACTGAATAACGATAATACCCGATACTAATTTTTATGTTTTTTATGGTTAGTCTGATTTCGTTAATGCACAAGCAACTTATACTACAGTAGTAAATTTGGCTGCACGTACCACATGGTATGAATGTCAAAAAGGAACATCGAAAAGTATCTGTAAGTGTGACCTATATTTTTATTATTACTTTCGCATTAATTTAATAAGAAATATTAAATGCTTAAATTAATTTATTTAGCATTTTCGGTTGTACTGACAGATGGAACAAAGACAACGACACCAGATTTTGGAGCCACACAACCAAATTACCTCTATAAATCAGAATTGTCGGGATTCATTGTTGTTGTAGCAGAAGATGTTGATATGAAAAATTATGTTGATCCATCAATTCAGCTGTCCAACTATTATCCATTACTTTCATGTTGGTCAAAAGATCCGGTTGTTCCAGTGCAAAGTTGTGTCAAATCGGGCCCTTTAGCTGAATCAAAAACACTTTGTATAGCAGTGACGAATCCATCCTCAAACTCATTACAATTTCAGTTGGATGCTCCGTTTCAGGGCTCAAAAACATCGGATGAAATTGTAGTAACTATAACTCAAACTGTGACAGTAAAGAGTAGTGCCACTGCAAATAGTAGTCCCGCTACTCTGGCATTTGATATTTCTCTTATTCTTCTTTTGATGAACTTTTCGGCTATATTTATGATTTTTACGAATATCTAGTTATTTATATTTTTTTTGTAGTTAGGTTTAGATTTAGAACAGCATAATATTTAATAAATTAATTTTCCAATATTCAAATATCAATGAAACATTTTATGAATTTTATTCATTATTTTTCATCTCAATGCTTTGGTGATTATTGATCAAGATGCATCTGAGTCTATTGATTAGATGATTATTAACAATATTTCTGGGCTTTGCACTATATTATAAATTCAATATTCTTTTTAAAAATGATGTTAAAATAATCTAATTATCGAAAAAGTAAAATTATCCGATAAAAATGAATCGAAAAGTCAACCCAAACATTTTTGGAATCTTTATCTTCCTTTGGGTGCTCATTGTCGTAACGAATTCCGCACCCATTATAAATCACAATCGTCGTAGCACATCAAATTCCGACAAACTAGACGCAGATCTTTTATCGGATGGTGGCGACCATTTCATGGTCGATCTTGGTGCACTCGACGGCTCTAAATTCTTTCCGTCAACAAGCGAACTAACAGGCGACGATAATGAGCTAAAATCTGACACTGTCACCGACACCACCACAACTTCATCCACAACCGACGCACCGCGAAAGAATAAATTGTTCCGTCCCCATATAAGAAGAGGTAAGGTGTATGTCCCTGGATTCGGGTACATGTCCGAAAAGGAATTGGAAGAATTGCCGAAAGGTACGACTCGAACGTCGCAAACATCCGAATATAATGGAGATGATGCACAAGTGAATAATGTCTCGTTGGAAGATAAAAAAAATATAAAGGATTTTGAGCATACTAGTGGATCTTATATTCCACCTGGATTAAAGAAACAAAAAGTTCAATTGATTGATCCTCAAACTCCGGTACATGAGCATATTGTTGTCGAAGAATAATAACAGTATTTATAACAACAATAACGAAAATGTTAAACTTTCCTATATTTTACATTTTATATATTCTGTAACTAGTAATGTATAAAGTGGGGGCGGTTACTAACACACGTCTGTATTGTTGAATATAAAGAATACTGATAGCAATGCGGAAATATAATATACAAGTCTAATAATTTCGCCACTATAAACAATTTTTGACTTTGCACAATAAGACTATATTGTCGGTCTCCTAGTATTTTTTATTTCTAACAATCACTATAAATAGTTTACAAAAACTTATTCAATAGCATAATGCATGGTATAAAAATTGTCAATCTACTCTTAAATTATTCAAAAAAATTATTAAATTAGTAAGGGTGATAACGAAGAGACTCTTCGTTGGACTCGGAGGAAGCGCGAAACACTATTGATGGATCTGATTGCGGTAAAGTAGCTTTTTCTTTACAACCGCATCGATCGCCTATAAAATCAATTTATTAATTGATAACGATAAAGTAAATAACGATAAAGTATATAACGATACGATATAAATACTTACAAAGTTGACGACCATCAGATCCTCGATAAAAATTAATCCCAGTGACCCCACATTCTTCACATTTATGTGTATTGTTACGTCTTTCTGGCTTTACAAGTCGAATTTCGCCATCAGGACCAATCTCTATTGGACGATGACGTCCTTTTATCTTTAAACTAAAAAAAAATGAAATCATTCCAGCTAAACTTTTGTTAAATAAGAATAAATTATATAATAAATGAATACATACTATAATCCACAAGCATTACAGAGTAAATTGACTCCTTCCGAATCACGACGCCATGCAGGAGTCTCAGTAGCACCGCAATTGTTACATCTTAATAATTCTCCTGTCTTTGTCCTAGGACCTTCTTCATCAAAGGTGACAGGAACTGGCGCTGGAGGAGATGATTTAGAAGTAACATTTGATTTTTTAGAAAGTGATTTGTTAGATCTACTACGAGTTCGTCTCTTTCTAGTTGTATATGTGCATTCATTGCATTCTGTCTTTGCCTTTGTTCTTTGATCTTGAATTTCCGCATTCTTAAATTCCCTCTTAATCACAGCACCAGAATACTGCGAATATGACGAACAAGCTTCTTGAGACGTGAGATCAGAAGTAGTAAATTCTGGCTTTCTAACACCATTTGTTGCATATGATTGAGAGGAAGAATACAATGCTGGCGGGATATTACTGATCGTATTTATTTGCTGAGGATATGGCAAACCTCCAGGAGAAGATCCGTAAACTGAAGACGAATTGAATGACTGATTTGCCATAAGATACTCATAGCGACACTGAGGACAAGTCGGATCCAAACATGAAAATTTCGGATCCGCTGACGAGAGATTTGACCTTGTTCCATTCTCGGCAAAATTACAGACATCAGTATAAGTAGTGAAATACCCGAAAGGTGATGAGGCATAATAATGAATTCCTGATGGATTATTGACGAAGGGATATTCCCGTTTTGCATCATATTTTTGTTCCCAACTTAGACTCTGCATGTGTGTTAGCAAAAGATTCGCTCCTGAAGGAGGTGCCAGAATATTTTCTACTTTTGGATCGGCAAAAGGTTTATATTCTTTGTTAGATGAGGGTTGCAGGAGGCTTTCCTGTGCATTAGTGCAAGAAAAAAACATGGCTTTTAGTATCATAGCAAAACGACAGCAAAATTTGGTGAGCACAAGTTTCTTGCAATGGAACTAACATTAGATCCAGAAATGTTCGGCTCAATAACGGTTTCTTGATTCTTTACCCTTGAGTTATTAAGATAAGATTGCGCGTTATTTAAAGATTCGTATTCTGTTGCAATGTGTTGTCTGTCCAAATTTAAGATAACGTCAATTTGATTCTCTTTAGGTTCGTACCGCTCGTTGGTTTCAATAGAGCGTGAGACAATTTGAGAATTAGGTTTCAAAGAAGGAGTAGTGCTAGGTGAGAAAGACTCAGATATTAAGTTATTAACGGAGCTGTTGGCTTCAGAAATTGAATTCACCTCAGACATTTTAACTTTAAAAAAGATAATCAAAAAATTATTCCCTTTTCGAATCAAATGTTAGTGATAGAAAGTTCAAATATCAACAAATATTTTCGCGTATAGTGATAAAAGATGCGCACCTTCAATGATTAATTACTTAATCTCTTAGTTTCTTGACAAAACAAAAAAAAAGGAAGTAATTTTTTTTCGAATATTTAAAAAGGAAAATTTGATTAAAAGAACTGATTGATAACATAATATATTATCAGACCGGCTACCCAAATAATGAGTGTCTTTTTATATTGAATCAGTTCGTGGACTTTAACGTTACTTTTGAATGATGCATAAGTTGGGTGATTTGGTGATGAATCATGGTAAAATCATGGTAAACTTTACAAATATCATGGGTTTTATCATAGCTTGTGACAAAGAGTCGAAGAACCCCTCTGTCTTTAAAAAACCTATTCCATTATAATATGATATCATATCTCGAAATCGAAAAGTTATAACGATATACGTAATTCCTGGTACATTTAAGGATACCGATACGTACACAGATAAAATGTTCTGGAAATCTTTTTTTCAAAACTTTTTTTAGAAAAATTCATGATTTTATCCAATTTTCGGTAAATAACGTAACAAGTAATTGTTTATTTTGTTTCGAAATGATATATGCTATTATAGGTTTTTCTTCATTTTGCTAAAATTTTAATATTCCAAAATATTAATCGTATTTATTATTTACAGCTTTAAGAATCCATTCGCAAAGGCAATTAGCCAATCATACAGATCTCTCTTGACAAAATCCATAAAACGCATCGTTAATACAACATCTACTGGCGTTGATGTGGAAATCCATGGGTGGGTGAAGTCTGTACGCATGCAAAAGAATGATTCTTTTGCCGAAATTAATGACGGCTCAAGTTCTCGAGGAATCCAAGCAATTCTCACAAAGGAACAAGCCAAAGAGTATGATTTCACCGAGTGCATATAATTTATTATTATTTTTATTAATAATTATAAAGTCTAACTACAGGGACATCAGTTAAAATGCGAGGACGACTTGTAGAAAGTATCGGTAGTCAACAGAACAGAGAATTGCAAGCGGACCAGGTCGAAATATTGGGAAAGTGTGATGCAGCTGTACGTTTTAATTAATAATCTTATGCCTCAGAATCGATGCGTTTAATCTTTATTAATTACAAAAATATTTTAAGACGTATCCTCTACAAAAGAAACACCATAGTTTTGATTTCTTGAGAGAAATATCACATCTTCGTCCAAGATCAAATACATTTTCTGCTTTGGCTCGAGTTAGAAACGGTGCGATAACCGGATTCGAAACATTTTTTCAAGTGAGAAATAATAAATACCTTCGTCCCATAATTTTAATTATTCATTATTTATCTATTTCAGCAAAATGAATTCTTACACGTACATACACCAATTTTGACGGCATCAGATTGCGAAGGAGGAAGCAAAGTTTTTAAAATATCAACTGATTGTTCCACTAGTCAGCAACAAGAGTATTTCGATAGGCCGGTATATTTGACCGTGTCCGGTCAACTTCATGCAGAAATTATGGCATCATCTCTATCACGCGTATACACATTTGGGCCTGTATTTCGGGCAGAAGAATCTGTCACCTCAAAACATTTAGCTGAATTCTGGATGCATGAAGCGGAAATAGCATTCATAACGAAATTAGATGATTTATTAGAATTTACCGAAGAATGCATTCGTGCTACGACTACACACGTTTTAGAAAACTTATCGACCGATATTGACTTTTTTAAAAAATGGATAGATAAAAGTCTAGAGACTCGTCTTGAATCTTTGAATAAAGCTCAGTTTATACGAATGCCATACGCAGAAGCTATCGATGTTCTGTCAAACTCAAAACAAGAATTCGACTTTACACCAAAATACGGGACTACACTCAAAAGTGAACATGAAAAATTTTTGGCAAATGAACATTGTCGAGCGCCTGTATTTATCACAGATTACCCAAAGTCAATTAAACCATTTTACATGCGTGTGAATAACGATGGGGAAACGGTCGCGTGCTTTGATTTGTTAGTCCCGAAAATCGGAGAACTTGTGGGCGGTAGTCTACGTGAAGAAAGATATGAACAACTCGAATCCCAGATGATTGAGAATGGGTTGTGTCTTGAAGAATATCAGTGGTATTTAGATTTGAGAAAATACGGGAGTGTGCCTCATGGTGGTTTTGGGATTGGATTTGATCGTTATTTACAATTCGTCACTGGAATTGATAACATTCGTGATGTCGTAGCGTTTCCTCGAGCTGTGGGCCAATGTAGATTTTAATAATTTACGCGCAAATTTTATTGATTTTCACTTGGAAATTGTGTATCCGAGTTTTGAGTTTTAAATAAACCAAAAATCTCTATCTTTATTATCGATTACCGAGTTCAAAAAATTTACTTCTTTATAAATTCCACTATCGATCGCCGGGTTCATCAACCGGACGAAGTAAGAAAGAAAGGAACACAATTCCACAATCACAAACTATCGTCAAGGAATAAATGAATGCGGCGAGGAAATTGAATGAAGAGGGTCCAAAAACTTTTGAAAGTACGCGAAACACAAAAATCAAATTAATCACGTGTCTCGTTATGACGCATTCAATAAAGTTATGCAAATACATACCGAGTGTTAAAATACAAAAGCATGAACCCTTGACATTTTGACAAGTGTTAATATTATTTAATAGAAATGTGACAAGGCTTTATGTATATGTATGTTTACCGTTATATCCAAGTTTAGGGCAAGTATTGATATGCTTTGAACAATTTTCGAGTCTTATCGTTATGAAAAAAATCGAGTATTCAATTTAGAAAGATTATCAATATATTGTGGTATGTAAACTACGAACTTACTGTAAATTTCAATATATTGTGGTATATAACCGCTTAAAGTAAAAAAAGCAGGACAAAATCCTAATAAATTCGTAGGCCACGAAATTCCGTTTTTATCTAAATTCTAGATAAATATGATGGAATTTCATATGATAAGCAATAATATAGTACAAGGCAATGTGCGAGCTTAATTAAAATATTGACCTTCAATAAACCGACACCCAAGTATTGCGCCAAGCCGAATCCCAAAATCCAAAGGAAAAACAAAGCAAAATATTTTGCTTGTCGAATTCGCGATAGTTGTTTTTCGTTTGCGATTGCTTTATTTTCTATGCATTGGGTTGAATCGTATTGTATCGCTAAGGTTGTTTCGTTTTCTGGGATTATCAATGGTTGTCGTTCAGCTCTTTCATCGTCTCCATACTTATAATATAAACATTGAACATGACACACCAGACATAAGATTCCGTAAAGTTCTTGTTGAATTATCAAAGGAATTGCAAGTTCAACAGTGATCGCGTATGCTCCGAAAATAAAAGAGGATAAACCCTTCAAGATAATTATTACTGAAAATTAGTAGTCGAAAACATAAATATGAATCTGATACAAGCAACAAGTATACCCATATGAATAACATAGACGCCGAAAGACCTTTTATATTTGATAACAAATGTTAAAAAAATCGAAGCTTATTTATTTATATTTGGAAATGTACCTTTAGTGTACTTTCCACGCCAATTCTCATATACTGAGGATTAAGATTTTTCATAATTATTAAACAATAATAATAATATCAAATAATAACAATAATAATAATATCATCAATAAGAACCTTGGGGAAGTAGCTGAAATGTTAATATCAACGTTGCCAACAATCCGAATAAATTTTCGAGAAATAGATTAACCATGTTTTTTTTGTTGACTAAACTAAAAAATAGCCACAATTTATATTGTTGATTCTCATGCATATACATATCGATATCAGTACCAATCGAAATTAAGGGTTTAAACAGTTCAGTTTTAGATTCGACCCCTTAATACGTACATTTTATTTATATCGATATTGATATCATTAAGTCATACATGTAAAATAACGATAACGATAATCAAATTCAGCATCTTTTTCACTATCAGCATCTCGTAAGCAATCAAGTAGTTTATGTTATAAAGATGGAGAAAAAAGCATGAGTTACTAGGAGAAGGTTGCAAATTGTGATTACAACAATCGTGAACTGTAATCAGATATTTTATTGATTTCCAAAAATACATTCGGTTTGCTCTAAATATTCCACGATATTTTTTCTCTGCCATAGTCGAGCTTTTTTTTATTATAAAATAAATTTAGTTCATCTTATATTAAAGTTAAAAACTAAATTAAATAAATAAATACTTGCCTATATCCAAAGGAGTCCTTCCGAGTTTGTCTCTCAGATTTATCTTTGCCCCACACTCTTCCATCAGAAATCTTACCATTTCTTCGTATCCTTGTTTTGAAGCATAATGCAATGGAGTCCACATATCCCATTCATCGAGAACATTAACAAACTTTACCTTCTCTTCATTTTTATTCTTTGTAATTTCACAACAATGGATCACCAAATATCTAGCTACCTCGATATTTCCTGTCATCGCAGCATGGTGAATTGTTTGTCGTCCTAATTTATCTCTTTCCATAATTGAAGCACCATATTCCACGATTAAACGTTGTACAAGCTCAAGGTTTCCAGAAATTACAGCGTTTTGAAGCAAATCGAGTCCAGAATTATCGTTTGCAGATAACAGGAATTTTATAGAATCTCGTGATGATGAGACCAGGAAATAGTAAACGATCTCAGGATGATTGCATAATGCAGCCGTTTGGATTGGGAGACGACCAGAAGTACTGGGTGAAAGAGAGGATTCTGGTGATTTTTTGTGAAGGAATTTGACTACGTCTAGATGGCCTGTATAGAAAAAATAATGAATTCTGACAAGATCTCGTGTGATAAATGAAATCCGATATTTGTACCTTCTTTAGTTGCAAGATGAAGACTATTCCATCCATCTTTGTTTAATAGTTTGTCATTTGCTCCTTTCGAGGTTAATTCTTTTACTATATCAAGTCGACCTTTCATTGCTTTTCAAAAAAAAAACGATTGTATAAAATAACGTTAAAGATAAAAAAAGAAGAAAGATGATTACTTGCATGAAATCATTAAGGGCGTCCATCCGCCACGTTTCATACAATCAATATCAATATTTGGTTGTCGACATAGAAATTGTACACATTCTAAATCTTCAATAGCTTCATGGAGTGGTTGACGTCCTAATAATTTATGTATATCAGAGATATTTAATGCTGCAATGAAAATAGTTGATATGTACGTACCATGAATATTAACACTGGTCACATCACCACCAAATTCCACCACCAAAATTTTTAACGCGTTTTTTGCATGGTATCGTGCAGCGAAATGTACAAGTGTATCACCATGTTCGTCTTTTTTGTTTATTATATGCACTTGATTGTCTACTTGTGAGAAACGATGAATTTCGTTTTTCATTAATTCATAGTCATCTTTTTGTATATATCGCTTTAGGGTTGTGAAAGAAACCTGGTGCATTTTTTGATCTTAACGTTACGTAATCTTTATTGTACGTATCTGTGTAAATTTAATCGATTAAATACGTACGCACATGTATGTACATTAAGTGTTATCGTTATGCAAAAGTAGTGTGAATTTAAATTTTTTTCAACTTTTCCGCGAAACCTTGTCATTATTTTTTTTATAATAGAAATACGAAAAGAATAACTTTTAAATATAATTGTACTGAATACGTATCTCGTCGTCAGGTAGTCGGGAACCATATCAAACCCAGAGAGTGGGTATCTTGAATTGGATTAAACCATTTAACGTTAATCCGCCTAACGCCAATAATAGACTCATTATTCTTGCGACGACAATATCTCAAAGAATTTTCTTGTGTTTCTACCAATTTAGATAAATAATTTATTTTTATCAATATCGATATATCGATATATGTACAAGTTATTCTACTTTTATTCATTACCATTACATAGTCATGTACGTTTATGAAATTGTCGTACGTATACTGATACAATAAATCACTGTGCATATGCATTATTCTTTATCGAGTAATGTTTTACTTTGTTTTTATTTTCTCTATTCACTCTTCTTTCTACATGTATTCATATAGTCTTTACCACGAAAAGAATTATCCTCAGAACTTCGTGAACAAATAATTGGTGCGTATCATATGGAGAGCAATGCCTCAGCTATTGCCTCTACCCTCACTATTCCAAAGCAGACAGTACGTGATACAATTAATTGATTTAAGAAAACAGGTTCTCGACAAAATATTTTATCAGAACGTGTTCAACGAAGTTTAAAACGTACTGTAAAAAAAGGTCGCAAAGCATCGCTCATTAAAATTAAATGCATACATTAATAACTCAATTCACTTTAATATCACTCGTAATTACTCTCATTTGAATCTTACTATGCAAGCCATAAACTCTTTTAACTACTCAGTATAAAAAAAGCGTTTACAATGGTGCAAAGAAAGAAAAACTGGAATGATGAATGCCACCAAATTGTGTGGTCAGATGAGTCACGATTTTCCCTTTTCCATTCAGATGGGCGTACAAGAGTATAGCGAAAATCCTTTAGAAAGTTCTGTGATTCTAACAGTAAAATTTGGTGGATTGTCGGTAATGTTTTGGGGATGTATTGGATGTGATGGTGTTGGACTTTTGATAGAAGTTGATAACAATCTCGATTCTGATGGTTATATTAATAGTCTTCCAAATACATGTATGTGGTTCCTTGGATGAATAGTCATTCTTGTACAACTTTTCGGCCGGATGGTGCTTCCTGTCATACTTCGCATTATAGTCGTTTGTGGATGTAAACAGTTTTATATAGAATGGACTGCCCCAAAGTCCCGATTTAAGCCTAATTGAGCGTATATGGAATCATTTAGATCGCCAAATTAGAAAACAACTTCTGACCTCCAAAAAGGATTTAATTGATGTATTGAAGCTAAAGGATCACATACATTATTGATATTTTTTAGACAAATATTCTATAACTTTTTCTCTTTCTATTCATATATTTATTTTAAATATTGTTGTTAAGTAAAATTTAGTTTAAATAAAAAAACTATAAATACTTTTTAAAATCGAAAATTTTAATAATGCACGGTGATTTATCGTAGGTCAGTGTATCTCTGTCCCATAAAATTGGACCAACTCTTATCGCTATATCTTCACAGAACTTCAATTTATGTTAACATGCATAAAAATTTCACATGAAAAATGACATACGTACCAATCGATACGTCCAGTCCATGACATGCATTTGCTGCACATGTATTAAAAGAGCCTTTTTACTATTTACACACAACAATAGAAGTCATAAAAGGCTTCTTTTTTATGCTTCTGTCTTATTTTTCATGCATAGAAACCGATATTACTCTTCTTTTAACACACAATTGAAGTTAAAATAAATGCCTCTTCTTATAACTACGAATATATCTCGTCTTTCATGCATAAATAGATTTTCAACAGAAGTGAACAAATAAAACAAGTACCACAACTGCTGCGCCACACGGCCAAGTTGGGGTATCTGGTCATCCCCCAGTTTATTACAAAATGCACTCCCACGAATTTTCGAATAAACTTAATTCCGGTCGCATTACCACATAATTCTTTAATTTTGGCTGATAAATTTAACCTTGGCTTGCATTACCAAAGAAATGGCACTATGGTATCTCTTATCCCTCAGCCATTTTTTCTCCCGTCCAAATGTCATACTGTGCGCTCCGTATTATTCTAAAGGCTTTAAATGAAGCAGTAAGTTTGTTATCAATTAGAAAATTTGCACGTAAATCATATCGATAAATGAGTGCATATAGACAAGGATTAACTGGAACTCTTGCAGTAAAAAAATATAAATCATCGAAAAAATTTACCAATTTGAATTATTAACGTTAACAAAATCTTAATGTTAAAATTTAACATTAATTTTAATGCTGGCCAAAATTTAATACATTATTCTTAATGCTGGCTAAAATCAAGTGATCAAATAGATATAACCATAATAAAGTCAATAGTTTGAACTCATAATTTTTTAATAAACATTTTTAAATAATTCAAATGACTTTTTGCTAAATAAAAAAATGCTAAAAGTTGTGGGACTAGGTGTACCAAAAAAAAGGTAGATAATGTGATTCCGATCCTGATGCCAACCATCTGATATTCTTAAAATTATGCATCAATCAAATCGCAAGATCAATATGCAAAATTCAAATATAAATAAAACAAATGCTTATTTTTGAAAATAGCTTGTATCTTAAAATTTTGCTTATAAAATTATCTTTTGTGCTTTAATAAAAAATGTTCCTTGCGAAATTTTACCATATACTATATTTTTGTATAATATCTCTTAACTGTCAGATTTAACAGGCAAATTTGCCTGCTAAATTTATATCTAATATATTTTTACCAAAAATTAAAATATTTTAAAAAAAGTTTTTTAATATTAATTTTAATTATATATTATATAATAATTATTTTCATTTTTTAATAATTATAAAAAAATATAATTGTTTATAAGTGAAAAATAAGAAAATTTAAAAAATTTTATTATTAATCTTCAAATTTAAAAATATTTTATAATAAAATTATATAATTAATTAAAAAATAAATCAAATATTTTGAGCAATTATAAATAAAATTTACAAATATTAATTAAAAATATATTATATTTTTATTTTAGCTTAAAAAAAGGTGATTAAGCTTATAAAACTTAAAAGTAAATATACAAAAATAAGCTAAAAAAATTTTAGTATTCAAATTTGCCTGCTGAATAATTTAAGAGATATAATAACTTTAATTTTAAATTTAATTCAACTAAAATTCTATTTAATATTATATATTGTAATTTAAGAGCCATAAGAGAACTTTTATATAATTAACTGATATAAATTAATTATTCAGATAATTTATTTATATTGTTTAAAGTGATTTTTTGAAAATGCAATATTTCAATAAGTAAAAATACAAATTTTAATTATCTTTTTTTTTATTAGAATATTAGTATTTAATATTTAAAATAATTAAAAATCTTAGAGTATTTTAAAAATAAAAATACTACTATTAAATATTATTAAATTATATATTTATTATGAGAAGTTAATTCAATAGAGAAAGATAACTGAAAATATTTTTTTAGAGATTAAATTAACAATATATTTTCAAGTTATATTAAAATAAATGATATAATTTATATAAATAGTTATAATTAAAGATAATATAGCAATTATTATAATATAATAACAAATAAAACATTATCTAGTTACAACTAGTAATAGCTTATAAACTTTTGAAGTTACAATATATTGCAACAAATAATAAATAAATATTATATATTTGCTATAATATCTCTAGTTATAATAGAATTATAATTAATAATTCAGTCAAATTCTAAGATAATATAAATTTGAAAAAATTAGAAAAACTAATAAAATTAAAAATACTATTAATTTTTTTCAAAGCAATAAAGATAATAATAAAAATTTTGTATAAATATGAAAAAACTAATTATATATTCTTTTTGATAAATTTTGATTAATTATAATAGAAAAGAATATAAGATTAAAATCTTTTTTTGATAAATTATATTATATTTTTCATTTAACTTTTTTTTAAAAAATAAAGATTATAAGTGTAGATAAAAAAGTAATTTTTATTTGTATACTACTTTCTTTACAAAATTCAAAACAAGTTTATAAATAATGCAAAAAGAAATTTAATAATATATTATTATATAATGATCTTTCATCATAATATCGTATTATTGAATTATACATATTTCATATCTTATTGGATAAAGATCAAAATCACATGAAGCAAGTGAACAAGCAATCAAACAAGTGAATGAGTGAATAAACAAACGAATAACTAAGTGAGCGAGCAAACGAATAAGTGAACGAATATTAAACCAATAGAATTTAAGTAATATAATGAACATGAATTCGTATAGTCTAAAAACTATATCTTGAATTTGTATAAAAGCAACATATATTATAGTTATTAGAATTAGATATGAACAAGTTCTTTTAGATAGTA